CTGAATCTGTCCCTGCTCATCACTAGGAGTGTGATACCTTTGGCTTGAGACGTGGAGGGCATTCCAGCCCTTGATTTGTTAAACTATGGTTTTTGATTGAGATGGATTTTGTAGGGTGGGGTCTTAACAAGAAGGGAGCTTGTGTAGATTATGGAATGTTCTTGGGATATTTTTTCTTGACACTAACCCACACTACTTATGTGTGGAATGTGATGTGAGTGGCTCTCGGCTATAATAATATTATTCTATGTCTCATATATGCGCCCATTTTTTCTGACAATCAACCAGATATATTCAACAAGTTCAAAGATAAAAATGGTAACTTCAAGGAGAGCTTAACTGCTGATGTTCCTGGGATGCTAAGCTTTTATGAAGCAGCACATCTAAGGAAGCATGGAGAAGACATGCTAGAAGAGGCTCTTGTTTTCACCACCACTCACCTTGAGTCGGCAGAAACAACGGACGCACGAAAGCCACTGGCTTTACAGATAACTCAAGCCTTAGAGAGACCTCTGCGGAAGGGTCTGGAGAGGGTATGTGCCAGGGGTTACATGTCAATCTACCAGGATGATGCTTCACATAGTGAAGCTATATTGAAACTTGCAAAGTTAGATTTCAATCTCGTTCAATCTTTACACAAGAAGGAGCTCAGTGAGATTACTAGGTAAGTTTTTGAATCATGTGAACATAAAATAGTTTGCAATTAGTGCACCCTATACACTTAATATTGTGAATTAATTATAGGTGGTGGAAAGAACTGGACTTTGAAAAGAAGCTGCCTTTTGCAAGAGATAGGATCGTGGAGCTGTACTTTTGGATAGTTGGAGTCTATTTCGAACCGCATTATATGGCAACAAGAAAAATTCTTACAAAAGTGATTGCCCTGGTATCAGTTTTGGATGATATCTACGATGCATTTGGCACATACGAAGAACTCGTGATCTTTACTGGAGCAATTGAAAGGTTAATTGGAAAAAATATATTATCTGCTTTCTAATTAATTTGAAACTGATTTATTTGTTGCATAACTAATACCTGTGTGTGTATGCCTAAGATGAATGTGGTTTATGCAATTTTCAGGTGGGATATCAATTGTATGGATGAACTCCCAGACTATATGCAAGTATTTTACCATACCCTCTTGAATGTTTACGACGAAATTGAGGAGGAGATGGTAAAAGAAGGAAGATCATACCGAGTTTACTATGCAAAAGAAGCTGTACGTAATGCAAATGCACAACTTTATTTGCTGTTAATCTATTTTGAGTTTGTTCCATGGGATTTTTTCAACAGTCACAACTCACTTTACTTTTCAATGCTTTTAACAAATGGCATAGGTTAAAGCTCAAGCCCGGAACTACTTTGCTGAGGCCCAATGGTTGCACAAAGACTACATTCCAAGCATGGAAGAGTATATGAGTGTAGCAACAGCTTGTGTTGGTAACACCTTGCTTTCAATTACATCTCTGGTTGGCATGGGAGATATTGTAACGAAGGAAGCTTTTGAGTGGTTGTTGAATGATCCTAGAATTCTTAGAGCTTCAAATATCATTTTTAGGCTCATGGATGACCTGAGTGGATACGAGGTATGTATAATAAGATGTTCTTACCTTGGTACAAATCAAAATTAGGTGAGATAACTAAATTTGTATTTTGGATTTATTTTTGCAGTTTGAGAAAGAGAGAGAGCATGTTGCTTCTAGTATTGAATGTTACATGAAGCAATATGGGGTGCCAGAGCAAGAGGTGCTTGATATTTTTAACAAACAGGTTACGGATTTGTGGAAGGATATCAACGAGGAGTTCCTTAGACCAACTGATGTGCCAATGCCTGTCCTCATGCGTGTTCTGAATCTAACAAGAGTGGTTGATCTCCTTTACAAAGGGGATGATGGCTACACACATGTTGGGAAAGTGATGAAAGATAGTGTTGCTTCACTTTTTATTGAACCCGTGCCTCTCTGATTTGGCTCATTATGAGATTTCCTTTTAGTCACTTTTAGGTCATTCCTTAGAATTAATTTTAAAAATAAGGTCATTCCCAAGAATTGATGTTGTCCTGTTGATTGGATTTTTGAGTTTTTGAGAGAGATGGTTGTTGGGCTTGCTATGCTGTATTATTATGTTGTACACTTCTTTACGATATGTTTCGGGCTATACAGAAACTAAACCTTAATAAAGAATATTTGTATTATATCCACTATAGCTTGATCCATAACTATTTGCAGCTTCGAAAAGCAAATGGAGGGTAAAAGCTTCTTTGAAGGATTTTGAGATTGAAACGATTGATATTATTCTTTGATAATTGTCAGTAAATATATAAGAGCAACTGTGTACTAGATATGGTAAGAGAATAATTGTACTGATTCCTGTACTGATTGATTCCAAATATGTGTACTAGATATGGTAAGAGAATAATTGTACTGATTCCTATATGATACATGATTATAGGAGAGAGCATAATGAGGGATTGATTGACATTTTGACACAGCGTGATAATTGATTGGCTAAACTTTAGCCTAAAATATGTAACTCTGGAATCCACCAAGAAGATATGAGAAAACCTCAAGGTTTATTGATAAATTTGGAATAACAAAACATAACCCTAACCGTGGGTAAAGTATGCTTAAATACTCCTAGAAACTCTAGGAATAACAAAGGAATTAAAATAGGAAAATTCCTTTAGTCCCCTCACAAGGAAAATGAAATGTCAAGATCTCGGAACCTGTTGGCTGCTTGTTTCAGACCGCATATACTCAAGTATGCCATCAACCGTCCATTTTGGGATGGTTTCAAGCTTTGGCACCAGCACTAATATTTACTTTGGCACTAGCCTATACAAACAAAGATGGGAAAGTAAATGTTGCCAGTCGAATGATGATCTACAGATTAACCTGTCCAGAATACTTACCAACTCCTAGAAGTAAAAATTGAATTCGTATTCACATATACATTGTTTGAAATATTTACAAATTCTTTAATTATGATGTGGCTTTTTCCTTGTCGTAGACAAATGTAATATAGTTTTTTTTTTCCTATTAATTATGAATTATAAATTATTGTTTTATTTTTATGGGTTTATTTTTGTATAGAAATTTTTTACCCTTTTAGACGTTGACCCCTGCAAAGAAAATTCCTGAATCTGTCCCTGCTCATCACTAGGAGTGTGATACCTTTGGCTTGAGACGTGGAGGGCATTCCAGCCCTTGATTTGTTAAACTATGGTTTTTGATTGAGATGGATTTTGTAGGGTGGGGTCTTAACAAGAAGGGAGCTTTTGTAGATTATGGAATGTTCTTGGGATCTTTTTTCTTGACACTAACCCACTTTTCATGGAGACAGTTATTTTCAGTGACGAGTGTCTTGTGTTGTGTAAATCAAAATATATAGGGCATGTTTGGGATGCCTCACCGGACAGGACAGCCTTAAATAGTACTTCACTGGGAAATTGGTGAAGCTGGCAAGGAGCGTTGTGGTTGTTCCCAGCCGTGGTTCTCTATTTTTCTGCTCCTCTTTCTGTTTTTCACATTGTAAGAAGAAAGGCCTATGATAATTGGGTTTGAAGGAAGTGGGGGGCAAACTGAAAGGAACTGCTACTGGAACTGCTCTTAGACACGATGAGGCCGAAGAAACTGATAAGAAGAGCAACTGCTCTGGAGTGAGGGTCTGTACCTTTTTTCTTTTCTTTTTAATTTTTTTAAAGTTATGCGTAATTGTTCTTTTACAATTATATCCTGCTTTAATTAAAATAAGTGCGTTTTAATATTAGTTTACCAAGGATATTTTCGGGGTTTTTGAATGTTTCACATTCTCTGCCTTTTGCTTTATATATATAGATGAACAAATTGAGTAATGAAAAGTGATTAGGAAGAAAATTAGAGAAAGAATTGATGAAATTTGTGAGAGAATCACAACTGAAGAGTTTTTGGCAGGGAAGAAAATTTGAGAAAAAGGCAAAAATGAGGGAAGGATCAAAAGTCGTGAGGAAGAAGAGAACAGGAAGAAAGGAAAAAAAAAAAAAAAAAAAAGAGGACGGGCTGGGAAGGAAAGGTAGAAGAAAAGGAGAAAAAGGAGGAAAAAGGAAAAAATGAAGAAGAGATAAGATAGTTTAGCTTTTAAAAAAATATTAAAATTTATTTGTTTTATTATTATTTATTTTTAGGTCAAAATCCTTAATTAAAAGTAAATATCAAATATTAAAATAAATATTAGAATTTTATTTATTTATAATTAAAATTAATTATTAAAATAATTATTTTTTACTCCGACACAACTCCAAACATAGGTCTGCATTATTTTTACAATCCAGCTTCTTAGTCCGACGCAGTATCTTCACTATTTTTACAATCCAGCTTCTTAGTCCGACGCAGTACCAAACATAAGTCAGTATTTAATCCAGTTTAGTCCAATCCGAGTTAATCCAAGACAGTCCCAGGATTTAGTCCAGTCCATAACAGTCCGTCGTACCAAACGACCCCATAAAAGGATAAATGGTGGTGGTGTGTGGGGATAAAAGAAAGACAAATAGAAAAAGAAAAGGGTTTACTTTAAGCTTTCTCTTGGGATTCTTCCACGGACCTAAGATAATAATTCTTCACACGAATCACAGTTTGACACATATACAAAAATAATTTATAAAAAATACACAAAAAAAAAAAAAAACTTTTGTAGACATTTCACATTGCTATTGGCAGAAATATATGAGCTCCTACTTACATAATGGACTCCCTAAGCCATCTCCTTAGACAAATTTTAAGAAGGACCGTAGTAGCTCCCTATAATTTAATGAGTATTTCAAACCTTTAATTAATGCTATTTATTTTTTATATTATTTTTAAATAAAGATGGACCAATTAAAAAGAGTTATAGCATTTATGACTCTCTAAACTAGAGAGCATTATTGGAGTTTAAATTTTATATAGAGCTTCTATAATAACTTTTTGTAGGGGCTTTTTCGTTCCGGCAGCTACTGCGGGCTTGGGCTACTGTAAAGGGCCAAATGTGTGAAATGCCCCTTGAGTTTGAGTTCAAAGATCAAACCCCAAGAGTGCTTCGAAAGGTTAGCTGAGCCTTAGGAAACACCTTGGTCTTCTTCACCAATGAAACCAATAGTCGCTTACAGATAAATTCTTGGCTTGGCATGAGAAGCTTGTGGCATGGGAGTTGAGCATTCATAAGTTTAGCATGAGAGAGAGAAAGAGCTGCGATTTCCTATGAGAAACAGAGGTTTAAGGCAAGGGGGAAGGGATTCTAAAAGGGTTCGTTGAAGAGAGAGAGATGGTGGAATAACAATGGGTGTGTTGAGTAGTTTCCGGTAGCTTGACGAAAGCTCTGTCAAGCTCTGGAACGATTTATCAGAAGAGAAGATGGGAGAAGATAGAGGAGTGGGGCTCGAAATTGTAGAGGTTTCAGGGCTGAGAGATGAAGCTGGCTCTCTGGATGTGTGTTGTAAGGATGAGAGATGATGCTTGCTCTCTTGATGTGGTTTCAAGGATGAGAGATGATGCTTGCTCTCTTGTTGTGGTTGTTGGTTGTTGAAATTGGCACTTAGGTGACGAGGGGTAAATTAAATGACACTCAAACAAAAACACGACCAATACTCTTATGACTAGTCAACTGTCAGACATGAATAATCACAACTAAGAATATACATAGAGCATATCAATATGTACCTACAAGCCTAGAGAATTACTAGTGACAACCTAGGCACTCAGAAGGACCCGTCAATCTAGGCATCCCCTGTGCTAGCAACAACTATGGTGAAAGTGTGTGAAAGCATCATAATCAAGTAAATATCAGACAATAGAAAAGATGACTAGTCAACTACAAGAACACGAACCCAGAAATACAGATTTGCAAACCAGAAATTTGTTCACCCAGAAACCCACCATTGGGAAAAACTGGGGGTCATCAACCGACCAGGCAATCCACTAAGTAGAAAAAGATTCTTACAAAGGAACACAAGCAAGCTCAAGAAAAACCTAGATCTATTTAGGAAGATGAGCTATACCTCCTTGCAAGCTCTAACTCAAACTGAAACCAAAATTTGGATTCAAAGGAGAATGACCAATTTCTTCAAGAAACCGTACTCTTGAAGAAATTAGTCTTGA